AACCATAAAGAGCACAATTTAACAAACCTTGAAAATTGCGATATTTTTCAACTTTTACTATATATATATATATATATATATAATCAGACTTTGAGTTTGTCGATTCACACTTCCATGTTAATTTTAGCCAAATGAAAATAAGTTACCACCACATTTTTTGTATGTCGTAAATGAAATTCGCCATGCAAAATACCCCCATTGTAGTCCTAATTTCTACCAATAGTTTTTTTTCTTTATTAACTTGCCCGTGAATGTAAAAAGACCCGAGATGTTTTGCATAGTGAATTACGGTATATTAATTAATATAGCTTATTACTATACGGTAAAAAATTCCATATTAGTATTAATAATTTTTGGTTTTTTTTTGACGAATAAGAAAATAAGTTCGTCAAATAAGGTTAACTCTCGTAGTAATAATGCACAATGTGAAGTTCACAATGGTTGACACTTATTTAACTAAAATTCAATGAACCATAACACTAACACCTATTCGGATTTAGAATCACCCTTTAATAATGACCATACAAAAATTGAAACGCCAATTGTTTCCGTCGTAACCAAAAAACGCGTCTCGATTAATTAACACTTTTATATTTACAGGTTTTAAGTGAAGAAGTGAGCTAATAAATAATCTAACCTATTAAATTTGATTTAATTCAAAAAATAATATTCAATAATATTTTTCAAGCATAAACCTAATCTATTCTATAAAGATTGATACTAAAACGGGATAATCTTCGTACTTTTTTCTAAGTCTTCGGGATTTTTTATCTCGCTGAACTTGATAGTTTCGTAATACATGTGCCTAAAAGGAAAAGAAAAAATTGAGTCTAGGAGCATGAAGGAATATGTTTTACAAGGTGTATATTTTCTTTAGATTGTACTTACAACTGCCATCGTTGTTGCAACCAGCACGAAAATCTTGAAAAGCACATATTACATCACGGCAATATTTAGCATATGCGACGCATTGTTCCGCAGAGAGATTCCTTTGTGAATTTATTGCTACACCTGATGTTCCGGGTACACTCGCAATATTGCTGTTACCCTGAGACGTGCTATTTGATGTTGATTGCGTTGGATCTATGCTGGTATCATTATTGTTATTATAGCTGGATTCAGCACCGGCAGCTTTTTGTAAATTAGGTATTATTGTGTCTGCTGGTGGTATATGAGTTGGAGAATCATTTAAAAATTCGACAGAGGTTATTTGCAAAATTTGAACTTTTATAAAGAACACCAGGAAAATGAAGACTATTATTATTGAGATGCAACTGACTAAAGCGCGCCAGAATAGTATTTGCATTTTTGATGAACGAGTGGTAAAAAAGAAGGTTAAGGATTATTTTCAAATTTTAGCAATAACTCAGTTTTTTAAGTAAACGTCGCAGACGTTGCTTTTACGTAAAATATGATCTATTCTATTTAAGATTTTATATGTTTTCATAGCCAACAATTTTTAGTGTCGAAAAAGGGTTTCAAAACATGTGGAGGGTGGGACAACGTTAAAATGGATTGTTTGAAATTCGTTAGCTAGTTATTTACCCTGTTATTATGAATTATCTTTGTAGCTAAATGTATACAGCAGGGAATGAATCAATAAGGGAACCTTTATTTTCCCGGGGAAAATCTTTAAAATCTTGTTCGATATTGCGCATAATTTCAAAAAAGGCAATTAATTCCCGATCGTGCGGAGTATAATTTTCACATTTCTCCTTTTCGGAAATAACATCATTTGTTTTCTTAATCGTTATTCTAAATGACTTGCATAAACGACTTACATAATTAATTTAACCAGTTATTGACTTCAACAAGTTCTCATACTTGAATAAATTGATTTATTGAAATTTCGCAAGATTTTTAATTCGGGTTCCCAAAAACATCATTTGGCATATTGTATGATACTAATCCCTGTGAAGTGGTTGAATTGTTTTCTTTATCGCACTTGAAATATTGTTGAAGAGTTGCTTTATATGCATTGATTTGTTCGTTCTGATCATGCGTCAACCGACATATCATGATGCGATAGTATCAAATCAACGAATCATGATTGACCTTGGGCAAAAATTCAAGCGAATACGAAATGATCAAGATGCATTTACTATATTCATGCGCGAAATAATATAAAACCAATATTTCAAGTGCTATAAATTCTAGTGCTACACTAGCCGTTTAACCCTAAAAAGTAAATCGCAAGAATAACTAAAAAAAAAAATGCATCTCCTTAATGTTTTCTCTCTTCTCTCAACTTTCTTTTTCGTGATCACGATGACAATAATAACGACATCATCATCTACAACCAAAGACAATGCACAGTGTCCCGCTACTTCACCCTTAACCCGTAGATCTGCGGCGAATAATTCTGGCGGTCATGCTAATAACTACAGCGGTGCACCGCGATATTATCGCAAACCTGCCGTGTCTCATTATAAAGGTGGAAAGAGGACACGTCGAAATGTTCCCCCGAATGCTCAATATCATGATCCGAATGCCACATATTATCGTAAAGCTGCTGCGCCGAATTCGAGATCGAATCGGCCTTCATCGACATTTGTGAGACGTCACTTCCTTGAAAATATGTTCCCGCCACCACCAACAGAAGAACAAGATGAATGTGTTATTTGTGCTTATCCGCCTCCACCATGTCCTAATTGCTATCTACCACAATGTCCTCCACCTTGTGCTGAATGTTATCCAGCTTATTATCCGCCACCTTGTCCTGCTTGCTATCAAGAGGAATATAACGGTGTCGCTTATCCATATTATCCCCCGCCATGTCCTCAATCTTGCCCTGTATGCAATCCATGTGACGATTAAAATGTCCGAATATTTTGTGAATACGGATGATATCTTTCAATATACTGTAGATTGTTATTAATGTATAATAATTGATAATGTCATGCAAAATATGTGAAATCGAATTTTTTCAGTTATAGAAATAAATTTGTTATATAGTATTAAATTCCCTTTCTCAATCATCTTGGGGGGTTGGCGCAATGGTAGCGCGTCCGCCTCCAGAGCGGAAGGCTGGGTGTTCAAGTCACTCACTCCCCACTAAAACCTATTACAGAAAAATACTTTTAGAGCTTGGAAGATTCAAATGGAAAGATTTCAAGATTTTTAACAAAGTCTAACCTGATACAGTATCAACTACATATTTTTTATTCGATGATCAAAACCATGCATCGTTTTTTAAACAAATTTTAATTCAAAAAAAATTTGAGGATTTTAAATAATGTGGATGTTCCGTTCAACTGAGAAGACCTGTTGCTAGTGAGTCGAACCACGCACAGTCTGATAAAAGCAAGTTAACCCCGGAACAAAAGATAATAACAGCGAGAATAAAAATAACGGTAGCAAAAACTACAATCATACCCTTAATAATAATAATAATAATAATAATAATAATAATAATAAATAATAATAAATAATAATAATAATAAATAATAATAATAATAATAATAGTAATAATAATAATAACAATAGCAATAATATGCCAATAGAAAAGTCTTCAAGGTTTGAAGATAGACTTCAAGCATATAAAAATTTGAAGAAGCGAGAGGAACAGGAGGAAGCGGAAGAGACAGAGGAAAGCAACGAAAGCGATTGGGTATTCGATTCCGAGACGGGTTATTACTACAGTGCTTCTACGAAAAAGTATGCTGTATGGAATTCAGAAGAGCTTGCCTGGAACTATTTTGAATCTAGCGAGGTTGAAAGCCAAATCACAAGCAGGCACGATAAAGAAAATAAAACACGTAGGCACATAACAAAAAAAACAAATGAGCTTGTCACAAAAAGAACATTAGAATGCTCGGAAGAAGAGCAAATATTAGAATCGGATGATACACGACATGCTGATAAAATTTCGGATGAATCGGATTATTCTTCAAGAAAAATTGATGACACTACGGAGAAATCCAAGCGCAGAAAGAAGCATTATGAAGATGGCAATGAAGAAGATGAAGACGAAGATAATTCATCTTCAGTTTTCCAGCCATCAACCGATTATATTCCTACAGAAGATAGCCGCTACTATTTTAATCCAAAGAACAATATGTGGTTTGATGTCGAGACTGGTGTATATTCCATTTATGATTCAGTGGCAAAAATTTACATTCCCGTTGATCCAGAAACATCATCACCATTTTATAATTCATTATCACCAGCACTTACTAGCAACGAAGAAACTTTGATCGATGAACAAGGGGAACCGGGGAGTGATGCAACGCTGAGATTAGTGGTATTACAGTCAGATGTATTGAAAGTTGGAAATCTCATAATCGTTGACGGAAATGGGATTTCCATAGGGCGTGATAGATGGGACGATAGACGTTTGAGATTACCCGAATTGCGCACATCAAAACATCATTGTCAAATATTCTGTTCATCTGCCGCCGCGATATCATCATCTTCTACAATAAATACTCCTAACGTTGAAAATTCCGTCGCCGTTAACAATGATAAAAGTGAAACAGACTCTTCAAATGCTATTAGTTCTGAGGATGCATTCTATATAATTGATAGTGGTTCCCAGAATGGAACCTTTATCAATTCAAATCGATTGTCGGAGAGTAAAATGAGTTCAAAACCCCAAATATTATCACATTTGGATGAAATCATAGTGGGGAGCACTACTTTTCAAGTTCATTTACATAAACAGTGGGCATGTGAAGCATGCACAGTTACCGAAGGAAAAGTGATTGAAATATCGAAAAATGATAACAATAACATTGCAAGCACAAGTACATTAAAATCATGTGAGCAATCAGAGATAGCAATCGCCGTTAGAGCTAATGGAAATCTTAGTTTAAACAATAATCTGATATCGTCCCAACGAGAGTTATTAGAATTGCAACGACGACAAGAATTAACGCGACTGAAACGTAAATATATTAGAAGTTATAAAGATGATGATGATGATAATTCCAGTACAGATAATAATGCGAAATATATCGATCGTGCGGCATTACGACGAGAGATTCGACCTGATAACAGGCCAGTAAAGAAATCAAAGACAGTCGACCATGAAGATCTTGACTATGTTCCAGCGCAGATTTCTCAAAATAAAAGGCTCGGATCAGAAAATAAGGGTAATATGTTATTACAAAAAATGGGTTGGAAGGAAGGCCAAGGATTAGGCCGAGCTGGCGGAGGAATAATTAATCCAATAGATGTGTTGACTAATGATGGACGTCGTGGACTTGGTTCAGGAGGAATAAAGAAGGCCATCTCTGGAAATAGTTCCAATGATGGCAAAGAAACATTGCAGGAAGCGACTCGAAGAATTGCGCGAGAAAGATTCATGGATATGTTTGAGTGATTAAATCACGCAGTCAGCGATCATTAATCTTTGATTTGATGATGGAAGAGCAAGCATGTCACACAATCAAAGCTGATTAAAAAACCGTTGTGTCCTAACCCACACAAAAGGGCTTCTGCTGGTCATTCGACATAATTCTTTTTTTAGCCAAATTCGATTTTTTGCATCATTTACATATGCTTTGAAAATAAGATCAAAAGTACCTCGCTTCTTTTTAAGTTCATCCTCAATTCGAAATCGAGGATTTAATATAATAGTTGATTAATTTCCTTTTTATCCTTTTTATCACATGATTCAGATCTGCCATGAATATAGCGTAAAACGTGAAGATAATGTGGTTATATATCGATATACATAATTAATTTTCTCATTTGTATCAGGTTTACTGACACGCTATGACTAACTATGCATAGACAATGAATATAAGCGATGCAAATCCTTGTTGATATTCTAGAAAATCAAATCAATAAATAAATAAATAACGATAAATGAATTACCTAAAAGTCGAGCAACAAAAGAGTCATTGAAAATCTCTATGTTCATTCTTTTTTTTTGAGTCCCCTGGCGTTAGCGTTTTTCCTATAAATAATATAAATAAAAACAATTTTTTTCTTGGCAACAGAAGTTCTAAATATATAACCTTTATTTACATATATCGATATATAAATAACAACAGAGAACAAATAACATTACATCACGCTAAATAAATCTATTCAATTCTTCTCTTTTGGGTATCTTTTTTCCAAATTAAGTTATCAACTATATCATTGCTGTTTGATATGATCCGAATTAGTATCGCTCGACGCATTGTGTCAAACCGAATACTATTAATTTCCTCTAATATTTTTTGAACACATCATCGAAACCATTTATTCACTTTTTTTTAATCTTTTTTATTCTCTCTCTCTCAATTTTTCACCTATTCGCTCAAAAAACTACCAGAGAAGTTGGAGTCACGAACAGGTCACCTCTTATATCGACTACGGTCTAAATCCAAAAGAAATTTTTCTACAGATAGTATCAATGAAATGACTACGGCGCCACCTCCGCAAACATTTCAGCCTCCTCGTAGAGATGTTTCCGCACCTACAGTTGGCGTTAACACGAGAAGAGCTTCGGCAACAGTCTGTATGTTTATACTTGGTGCAGCATTTCTTTTTAAAATTATTTTAATTTTTAACCGTACCACCATTAGCTGTTGAAGAGTCTCTGAAGACTTATCAATTACTGGAAGCCCTGCGAACAAGTAAATATTAGTAATTTCTCGGTTACCAATTCAAAGAGGTTTCAGATCCGAAGGGGAGGAGTTGAATTCCATTCATTGATTTGACTTTATATTTTAGATGATACGGGGTTCCTCCAAAATCATCTTGCATCTTATCAACCTCCTTCATCGTCACCAAATAATAGTAGCTCGACACTCAGTGGAACTCCGCCTTCCTTATCATTAAATCACACACCTTCACCACTAATACTTGCCGTGCAATGCTCCGCAACTCCTACAGTCGAATATGTACTTTCGCATTTACCACCGGGTTTTGATATTAATCAACGCGATCAATATGGAAATACTGCGTTACATTATGCTGCCAAATCAGGACGTCTTGATGTAGTGGACCTGTTATTGAAGCAGAAGAACATCAATGATACCTTACTGAACAACGAAGGAAAACAAGCTGTTGATATGGCTAAAACTTTGGAGGTTGCCGAATCACTTAAAGGTTTTATTTTATTGAATGTATGATTTGTTAGCATCACATCAATCTCATAATCCTTTTTGTTTTTGAAAAGTAAATCGTGACCAGTTCTTGGAACATATAACCGTACTTTACCGAAAACACGTAGCCGCTTCTGACCTTGAAGCACTTCGTAATTTTTTTCAAGATCCTCGAGCTGCAGCTTTAATTGATATAAATCATCAAGATTGTGGAACTGGAGCTACGTTATTACATGATGCTGCACGTAAAAAAGATATAGAAATGGTTAAATTTTGTCTAGATCATGGCGCTGATATAAATATTCGAGATAGGAAAGGAAAGTTACCGATAGAAGTCACGAGAGAAGATAAGATAAAGAATTTACTAAAAGAAGGTTTGTTTTCTTCTTGCGTTATTTAAATGCTTATGTGATAATTGTATTTTTGAGGAAAATCTCATGAAATACTTATAATTCAATAGTGACCCCCACTTCAAGCTTAGTTATTACTACATTACCCAATCAATCACCAAAACTAAAAGGTTATTTACATAAATGGACTAATTATGCTGGTGGTTACAAAACAAGATGGTTTGTTTTGGAGAACGGTAAGATTTGTCCCTAATTTCTTTTATTCCAAATTTGCTTTACTAATAATATTTCTCAATAATTATAGGAATTTTATCGTATTTTAAGAATCAAGATGATGCAGGAAATTCTTGTCGCGGATCAATAAATATGAGGATAGCCACAATCTCTAGAGATTCAACAGATCGTCAACGATTTGACATTATTGGGAAAGGTTCAGTACGTTACCATTTACGAGCCAATCATTTTTCTGAAGCAGAAAAATGGATAAAGGCTCTGCAACAATCAATGCAATGGAAAGGTTCCAGAAGAACGAGTCTCCAAGATGAATCATCTGTTTCAATGACAGTAAGTAATGATGATGACCACAGAATTCCGCGGATTATGCGTAGAGCAGACACCATTTCTTCAATGAATCGGGAACGATCGCGTTCACCTTCTAATGACTCGATTGAGGTTGATACTGTTCCTCATGCGGACACTTATCAATTGAAAATTAGCTCTGCTAGAGCGCAGATGGAGATGCTATCACAATTGCTAGAATCCGTTATAACCACATTGCAACCGTTATTGTCGCCTGATTCACGACAACAAGTAGTAGTTGATACATTTAAAAAATCCCTTGGACCATTACAACATCTTGTGGACGATGTTGTCCGTATGTCAGAAGATCGAGATACGTACTGGCAGCGAAAACTCGAAAAAGAACTAGAAGCTAAAAGACTTTGGGAAGAAAGTATGCGTGGTTTTGCAATTGAACAAGCCCAAATGGAAGAAATTATTCAAGAGAATGTAAAAGAGCATAAAATGCTGAAAAAACTTTCAAAGCTCTATAATGTCGATGTCCATAGTAACCATAATAGGGTTTCATCCGCTTCAAGTAATAGTCCAGCGGAACCTAAACCAGAATTTACGGAAAGAACAATAGTATCACCAACTCCAACTGACAATACAGAACTTGCAAATTTATCACCAATGATCGACGGCGTTCCTATGATACCTCAAATTGCTATTGAAGAAACAAAAACGCGGAAGAAGCATAGTTCTACAACTTCGTTAACTACCGATTTATATGATTCTGACGATGAATTTTTCGATGCAATGGATGGTTCTAATAATGTGGAAGTTGAAGAAGCAGTTATGGAACAGCCATCAATGGAATCAGATGAAACTGGCAAGCTTCAACCATACGTAGCGCCTGCATATTCAGGATATCCAGACCATGTACGCACACGACTTCCACTTGACCAGAAATCTTTACGACCCGATGTTTCTCTCTGGTCGATTCTTAAAAATTCAATCGGAAAAGATTTAAGCAAAATCACGCTACCTGTTTACTTTAACGAACCAACTTCGATGTTGCAACGCATGGCTGAAGATATGGAATATAGTGAACTTTTGGATATTGCAGCCCGACAAAAAGAAAGTACTGAGCGAATCTTGTATGTGGCTGCCTTTGCTATGAGCAATTATTCAAGCACGGTTGGCAGAGTAGCAAAACCATTCAATCCTCTACTGGTAGGTAATTATTTCTAAAAAAATGTCTGCTTTAAAATTTACAAGATAATTCTACTCGTTCTATTTATTTAATCTTGTATGTTATTTCTTTTTTAGGGAGAAACGTATGAGTATGTCCGACCAGATAAAGCATTCCGGTATATATCTGAGCAAGTGTCCCACCATCCAGTAAGTTGAATTGATTTTATTAATCTTTATTTCTTTATTCATTATAGAAATGTAGATGTTTATTCATGATTTTTTTTTACTTATCAGCCAATAAGTGCATGTTATTGTGAATCTCCTAATTACGATTTTTTTGCAGAAGTAGATGTGAAATCAAAATTCTGGGGAAAATCATTTGAGATTCTTCCAAAGGGGGTTTCTCATGTCAATCTAAAAGTTCCCAATGAATATTGGCCTAACAATAAGGAGCGAGATCCAAACTCATACATAGCTATGGGCATGCCGAATGCATTTTCCGAACATTATTCATGGAAAAAGGTTACAACATGTGTGAACAACTTAATCGTTGGTTCTCCTTGGATAGATCACTATGGGGACATGGTCATAATAAACCATATAACGGGGGACAAGTGTGTCTTGACATTTAAGGCGCGTGGATGGCGCGGAAAGGATGCATTCGAGATTCGAGGCATCGTATATGATGCAAATGGAAAGGAAGTATGGGAGATTGCTGGAAGATGGAATGAAAGATTAGTCGCTCGAAGGAGTGGTGGTGCACATTATGCGTCGGCATCTGAAAAAGATCTGGGAAGTGATGCGGCGGCTGCATCTGCCACTGAACTCGAAGAGGCGATAAGCAGTACATTATTATCACCCACAACTTCAAATCCATCACATCGACGCACAATTTTGTTGCTATGGAAGCGCGCACCCTTGCCAGAAGAACCTATTCCGTTTAATTTAACACCTTTTGCGATTACATTAAATGATTTACCAGAATCATTAAAAACCTGGATTGCACCCACTGATTCACGGTTAAGACCGGATCAACGTGCATTGGAAACTGGTCAATACGATTTGGCTAATAGTGAAAAAGTCCGTCTTGAAGAAAAGCAACGGACTAAACGACGAGCACGAGAACGTGGTGATACAGACGACTTCAAACCTCGTTGGTTTATTCGAGATACAGAACCTGATACAGGTGAAGGCTATTGGCGCTTTAACCATGAATACTGGCAAGAGCGCGAGCGGACGGGTAAAGAAAAAAGTGAAGGAACTGGGCCTGGTAAATGGAACGTGGAAGATGATGATATATTTTAAGAGGTTCCATGCCAGAGTAGACTAAATATAAAAATCTTCGGGATTTAGAAATCTGAATTCTAACTTATTCTCTGCTAAAAATACATTAATATACGCTATAAATCATATAAATAGTCATAATACAAATATTAAAAAAATTAATATTAATAGAAGAAAACTCGCTTTTTCATCAGAAGTTTATTCGTCTGCTGCAGATCGCGTGTGCTGCAATTTAGGCCTCGCTTCATCCCAAGGACCATGTATTTCACTATTCGAAAACAAAAATTAAAACAACTCGAACTTAAAAAATAAAAATATAAAAATACAAAGTTAAAAAAAAATTACGCACTTTTTATATTTCTGGATCCAAATAAGCCAAAATGGACAGCAAAAAGTAATAAATGTGATCCCAAAAATATACAAAATCACGATGGCTTTCGAGATACGTAGAAATAATGCTGTCGCAAGAAAAAACAACAGACATGTTAACGCTACATTAAAGTTTGCAGATAAACTCTGATTCCAATAAATAAAAAGAGGAATGGCATAGATTATCATGAGTATTTTCTTATCGGTATAGAGAGAGAGAGAGAGAGAGAGAGAGATTTCTTTATTTAATATTTTTTACCTTTGTATATCTTCTAAATATAGGGAACAGAGCAAACCATTCAACCGCAAAGGACATTAATCCGAATACGTGTGAATTTGAGGGTAATCGCGATGCTAAAAGCACAGAAGCAAAAATCGCCGCATTAGTTGATAATGAACCTGGAAATCTGTATAGAGCATATTTTTTCATTTAGAAATATTTTTATATAATTTTGGGGAACAGAATTTCATGATTAGAATTTACTTGATATTCGTTCGATTTCCCGATCCATAATCATGAAACAACATATTGGCAAGAAATAGGATGACTGTTAAAGCCCAAATTGTATCACTACTCGTGTCCTTGGTCAGTGTTTTAAGGATCGGCGATAATCCAAGCAGTGTCGCAAAAAACAGAATAGCTCCTTTTGCAGTTTGCCTCCCTTATTTAAAGAAAAGATCTAAAATAAATTCTCTACGCCGGAACAAATCATTCTGGCAATAAATAATGCTTTGATTTTCCCATTACTTGTGTATTCATAGGAAGGATCGGTTTTTAATATGCTTAAATCCCAAAAGATATATCCGATAGAAGTGAAAATTGTTCCAATAACAATAAGATTTTGTGCGGATAGCATGTCCAAATAAAGATATATAAAAACAGCTATAAATATTACTATACTGCTAATATGCTGTGAAATTACCCCCGACTCCATTACAACCGTCCAATAATCGTATGTCCTAAGGTTGGCTAATAAAGAGTTGAATAGGTACATTATAACCAAAAATTAATCAAAAAAAAAAAAATCAGATGCAAAGAAGATTCACCATTTTTCTGTAATTCTTCAAGAAAAGAGCTGTCTACATGATTGTCCGGATATTCTTGTTTTACCCATAATAATTTACGCCAAGGATTTTTATTATTCACCTTATTTTCCTGTACCTATAATAAAAATTAAATCATCACCAATATTTCCAAAAGTTCAAATAATGAATATCAATTATATTACCAAAACTTTATTTGACCTATTAACAAACACGCGAATTTTTATTAATAAAGAAATCTAAGATCGATATGGCAGCTTATAAAATTATATATTTTTTTACCTATCAAAACTACAATAAATACATTTTGCTTCGTCTGCACGAAACTGATATCCATCGGTGGGGCAAAAATTTATTGATATGTTGGCCATTTTGGCATAAAAATTACACAATCGGATAACTCAAATAATGATCTGCAAAAAAATCTATGCAGTTCGATCGGATCCTATTGGTCCATTGCTCTAACTATTGAAAGAATTTTTCATCTTAAAGTCCTTTGGACTAAACGTAAAGGAATACTTTACTTTTTTGTTGTGATAAAAATCACTTGGATGCTAGTTTGTAATAATATTTTTATTTGTACAAATTTCGGCATTTAATTTCCGAAACTTAATTTTATGTCAGTGATTAATTTAATTAATATTTTCAAAAAATAGTGCATCTTCTTTAATCGAATATCTTTCCGAAGGAATATCCATGGGCGGAAGGGGATTGAGAGCTTGAATAACCCTTCTTCACGCTCGAAGGGAAATATTGTGAGACCTTATAGCATTGCAGTACCATTCATAATATTCCGTTTGTATTTTTATGTTGTTCTTTTATCTGCTTCAAAGTAACATATTTCTTAAACATATTTTTTATTTCTCTAGGCCCTGACATGTTTTTTTTAAAAAAAAAACTAATGAACATGCTTGTAAGGATGAAACCTGGAACCCATAATGAATTATTCTATTGACGCGTTGTATCGTCGGGATCCTATTTCCCTCATGTGTGCCTCCCCATGAAGTGTGAATTGAATTGATCTCTCTCTTTTGATTCATGCTTTGCCAATCCTTACCACCACTGTTTTATAAAGACAACCAATAAATAATAAAATATTTTATCGTTATTATCGTTATATAAGAAATCTTTGCTTAAACTTCTACATTAACATTAATGCAAGAAAAAAGAAATGCCATCGATGATATTCAAATTTATACAATTCATTGATCATTTATTGTTCTACCTTGTTTACAGTTCTTTCGTCATAATTTTCCCTTTAAAAAATGACAGACTTTGAAGTTAATCCCTTCGCTGAGTCTACTAGCCTAGATGAAGACTATGAAGGAATCTCGGACGACCAAGAATACAGACCGCAAAGTGAACGCATACCGTCGTTTGCACATGATTTTTCTGGTTTTTGTTGTCAAATTGGTTCAGTAATTCGCACCGGAGAAGAAAACATTCTTATAACGAATGCGCAAAAGACAAACGAGGGAGGTGGAAGTAATTACATTACTTATACGATTCGATTCAATGTAAGTTTAGAATTTTATGCAAGTTCGGGAATTTCTACATTGGACACTTAATGCTTGAATTTAAAACTATGTTTAGGATCAAGAAGTGAAACGGCGTTATTCGGAATTCGAGTCACTGCGAAATAGTCTAACACGATTATATCCAACAGCCATTATTCCTCCAATACCAGAGAAACATTCTATTAGTAATTATCATTTTCTTTGATTAATCAATAATTTACTTGAAACAGCATTAAATTTCTTTTATTTGATTCATAGCTGACTACGCGACTATGCAAAGTAAAGCCAAAGAAGATGTGGTGATAATTGAAAAGCGTAAGAGAATGTTACTAACATTTTTAGTGCGGATTGCAAAACATCCGAAATTATCGAATAGTCATATTTTTCATAGGTTTTTGGAGAGTGGCGTATCATGGGTAAAACAATGACTAGTAATTGAATAACGTTATCGAGCTAAGAATTTAATAGACGCGTATTTATAATATTCAAAATTATTACTCTATGCATATAGAATGAAGTTCTCAATTCTCCACCACTATCGACACTGCCGAAAAATATTCTTCAGGTGTCCCCAACAAATCTTCCATCTCAATCATCGAGTAATTCCACATCTCCGGTTTCCACAACAAATCCGCTTCTACCCACACCTAACCCCTCTCAATTATTGAGAAATCCGGATCAACGGTTTCTCGATTCTGAACTGTTTACTAATAAATTTGCTAATCATATGAGCCAAAACTTAGAGAAGACAAACCGAAGATTATTAAAAAGATTGAGTGGTAACTATTGTATCATCTCCGTAACTTTCTTGAAACCACATTACTTTCGATAATTTACAAAAATTAATCGCGTAAATTTCCATAATTCTAGATTTATCCAATGATTATGCTGAATTGGGTGCAGTTTATAATGGGTTTAGCTTGGTCGAACCTGGTGGTTTATCCAATGCGATTGAGAAGGTTGGCCAGGCGGTTGATTCTTCCTTTATGGCTATTCGAAATTTGGTACGAGAAAAAGGGGGGGGGGGTGTTAAGAGGCTTGACAATTTAAAATATTGAACCTGTCTGTGCTTTTATTTAGACCACAGCACTTGAATCCGAATTTTCCGAGCCTCTTCAAGAATATTCGCAATTCGCTCAGATGATTAAACAAGTGCTCCGATATCGACATATGAAGCATCTACAGTTGGAGCTCACAGAAGAAACTCTTGAAAGACAAAAGGCTGCCCATGAAAGTCTAATAAGATCAGAGGAGGAGGCCAGAAGATTAGAAGCCGCTTTAAGTCGATCAACAATTGAAGAGAATTCGTTGTCTCGTTCTCGTGCTAGTTTAGATAGCGAAGATGGAAATTCACATATTCATGAAGGTGGTGAAAATGGACGTGAAGAAGATGGTTATCATCAGAATGGTGACTTGTCAAATAGTGCTACGCTGAATCATCACTCTAAAAAGCGTAGTAGCTCGAAATTGTTCTCCGTGTTAAGCCATACTATTCACGGTATAATGGACGTCGATCCAGAAGCCACTAGGAGAAGTAGTATTGGTAAAACAGCGGATTCCATAATTCAGGTATATCTCATGATATTGTCAGTTATTTAACGATGAATATCGGTACTTACTCGCATTCTATGTGCCTTTTAGCTTGAGGAAGCCTTAGAAACATCTAAACAAGACCTTAAGAATATATCCGTATCTATTCAAGAAGATTTAGATCGTTTTCAAAGACAAAAAGTACGTGATATTCGGGACATGTTGATCGCATATGCAAAAATCCAAATTAAATGGTGTCAAAAGGTATAAAATTTAAGTATGGTATTATTATTAATCGCTAAAACAAATAAGAATTCTTACATATTAAATTGCTTTTTAGAATTTAAATAGTTGGGAAGAGGCTAGAGCCGAAATTGAAAAGATGCAAACGTAACATGTTGGCATGGTCATTTTTTAATTGATTTGGAAACTAAGCCAAGAAATAGCCAACTAGTCAGATTTTCAAGCAACCTAATCTAGGAAAAAAAAATTCATTTTTACCTAGGATCTAATACAACTTTTGTTATTACTGTTATATTATTATTTTTGTTATTATATTGTATTTGTTAAGAAAAATAGTAATTGTCAATTTACATCCTATTCTTAATGGTAGATTCAATGAGATTTTTGAAAAAAGGGTAAACCTGCTTTCTAGACCAAGATTTATTCTTTTGCCTATAAAACCTGCAATCCTTAATCTCATCATCTGAATCAATATTTAAGGTTTCCAATTCGAGATCAGACTCCATTTTCAAAATGAATTCTTGCGATTTTAGAAAATTGGCAATTGGGTAGGCAACCAAATCGCGTTGAAATCCATGTTGGGGGTGAGTGTGAGTCGTCATTACGATAAGTAAATCCAATGCTTTCTTTGAGGCATAAGATGCTAATTCAGCGATCAAAGTGTGAATTTTATCACGCTCTATCCAATCTTGAACAGACAGAGAGACACTACTTATGCCAATACGAACATCACCGATGATCAATTCTTTATAATCTTTACGCAATAGATCATATGTTGATAAATGGAAAATATTTTTTCGTGTTTTTTGAATGTTTTCATAATACTCTATGATAAATGTATTATGATCGGGGTGTTGTAGTATATTCAATAGAAAGTTTGCAGCTTCCTGATCTTTCTCAGTTGTTCTTCCTTTGGAAACATCCAGGCAGACTGTGTCAACGAGTATTGGGGCCAACAATAAATTTGCCAGCTTACGATCATACTCATTTACTTGATCAGTTACCCATGTTTCATGAAAGAAAAGGGTCACCAAAGAACACGCTGAACCTACAGATTCGATCCATCGTGGCGATGCTGTCATATATAATCCTTCGTCTTGATGATGATCCAATATCGCATCTACACAAGTTGCAAATTTATCCCAAGGATGCACCAGTTGATTGTGATCAACTAAAACTACGCGTAATTCATGGTTTTTCATTAGTTCTTCTGACACAGCCTCAAAATCCTCTTTATATATGAACCGGTCGCTATCTACTTCACTACGACGAAACACGTATACACATTCTGGACGAAGATTTAATTCATCTTTTGATATTTGGATTACTGGTAAAAATATGCCGCTCTCAGGATTGTAACGTTGACTTAAGAAAGCATAAGCGATAGATGCTATGATGGAATCAAGATCTAATTTTTTTATAGCAAAATAAGTAGAATAAATTCATTACTTTAAGCTCTGCATATTAACCGAATTAAATTGTAACACTAAATCATGAGCAAATTAAAACATAAATACCAGCCGATTCATTTCCGATAACGATAAAAATTTTTGGCTTAAAATTGGAATTACTGTCACTATTTCGAGTAACTCTCTCTAATAGACCTAAAAAATCCATGGAAAACAAAATCGAGAGTTTAGAAATTACATCATAAAATCGGTATCGATATAAATATCGATATATTTTAAATTGATGCATCACTTTACAAATCAACAAATTTTAGTGCCATTTGGCAACACTTGTCTTACCTATTTATTGCGAACGGTCGAAACAAACAATTGTCTATATATTAAAATTCTGTTTTTCTACCAATTACCCTTTCCTACGATCTGTCAGAATTTATCTTCAATAAAAAAGTGATAGAAAAACCCTTCAATTTGTTGAAGAGTATTTTTCCTGTTACCTGCTGTAACTCTTGTTAAATGGGGGACGAGGACGGAGGTAAGGAGTGAGTACCATTAGATCTATATTTATTTGAAAAATCGATCTGAATTCTATTTTATGCTATATCTTCATTAGACGTTTGTCGTGTGTGCCGCTGCGAGGGTACGGAAGAACAGCCTCTTTTTCATCCTTGCAAATGTGCTGGAAGTATTCGATTTGTGCATCAAGATTGGTATTGAATGTTCTTTCACTGATTTGTACGCTATTCGGGAAAACCTCCCTAAGTAGTACTGATATGAATTTCACCTTTTGTATTCAGTTTAACAGAATGGCTAAAGCATAGCAAGAAAAAGTAAGCATTTATTAGGTATATCCTATTAAATTCATTCCTAAAATTTTATTTTTTATTAACCAATAATTCTTCTTAGACATTGTGAAGTTTGCAAATATCCCTTTTCATTCACGCCAAGTACGTCTACAATTTTTTTTGTTAAGCATGAATATAACCCCATCTCGCGCATATTCACTTTAATTATCAAGAGATCTCACGACACTGATTTATCTCGTGTTGTTCTATGAAAAATATGCGATGAGACTGTAGTATACATCTTTTTATAAATAACTACAAGAGTTATTTAAAATTTTGAGTTCAATCATGCATCTCTTACATACGTAAATTATTATTACCCTAGTCTATGATCCATCAATGCCCGAATCAATTCCGGTTGTATTGTTTTTACGACGAGGACTTCGCCGTTGTTACGGCCTTATTAAAATCTGGATACGTGCTATGCTAGTGGGGACTGTCTGGCTCATAACTCTACCATACATCACAGTCTGGGTATGGAGATTCTATTTTTGGAGTGGAGACGGTCTCGCCTCATTTGTTTACAGAAGAGAGTCTATATCTGTTGGAATAACCAATAATAACAGCACAATATCAGAGGAAAAAAGTGCATTGGCGGTATTTTATGTGAATTTATTGAAATCCGCATTATGGTATGCGCCTCCAGAAGCAGTAGAATTTGTCGAAGCGTACGGAGACTTTGCAAGGTAATGATGATACATATAATATGCAGTGATTTCAATGATTGGCTTAATTACGATTAAAGTTTTTAACTTTTTCTCGAGCAGCAAATTTTTTGCGGATACCTTTGAAGGACAAATTATAACGTGTATTGTAGTTATTGTATTTGTTGCAGCTTTTTTATTAAGAGAATGGATAATACAGAATACACCGCCCGAAGATGGACTAGAAAATGATGGAATGGAGATTGAGGGAATTGAAAACGAAGTTCTGGAAAATCGTGCAGAGGAGA